CTTCGATTGCCATAAAATTTGCCTAGTATAGTAGAATGTCAATTTGATAAAAGGCCAAATAATTGAAAATAAAATAAAAGTCCAAATAAGAATCACATACATTTCCATACTCAGTGCAATAGATATCACCAGCAAAAGTAGAACATGAGATTAATGTCACAATAAACGAAAGTTGGGGGATGCTAACACATGACAAAAAAGAGCAGTCCGGTGCACAAAACATCCCGTATTCACGCAGGATTCGGTAAAGGGTTGCACTCCAATGGGGTGTGATGTACGCGGCTTACCCCTAATGCAAGCATCAGTGGTTGATTCCACGGTTCGAAAACATGACCTATAGGTCACACAGACACAACTTGAACGTTACTCTAAGACTCCCCATTGTGCTAATACATGACACCCCTTCTAATAATTTATCTTCTCTTAATCCAACTAAATCATGAAGTGGTGTGATCTTCTCCATAAGACAAGTTATATGACCACTAGGAAAGTTTTGTACATGTCCTAGTGAATAGGGAAGCTCAACCATCAATTTTGTAAATTTCTTATTGATAGGATCATAAATAAAAATTGAGTTGCGGCCAAAGCAATATGTCATACCACAAAGCAATAACTCACCAGAAGGAAGATTCCCAATAGGTGTGACCTCACAAAAATGTCTTACTAGTTCATCTGGCATGTTGATACTGTGCTTGCTCCATATAGAGTTTTGGTCATCTTCTAACGCCCAAACATTCAAAACCGTCTTAAATTGTGTCTTATGTGCTAGGGCTAGGCGCCCTTCAAATTGACCGAATATGAAATCGAATATCGAATGCTCTTGCATTGGTCGGTTGAAAATTGTGAAATACTCTTGGTGGACATCAAAGGCAAGAAGATACTTTTTCCTTGGATCGTGGATTTTGCAATAGATTATACAATTCACAGAGTAACTTTGAACTTTGGAATAGGGAAACCGAGGCAAACCTTCCTGAAAGATATCTTTCCATCTCCATGTCGATCTTGAACTTGTTTTAAGAGTGAAGATCTTGTAAACTAGTTGATTGGCAAGGGTAGTGACTTTAAGAGATTTGTATACATTATCCACAGGATCAAACCCGAGAGCAGATTAAATATTATGTGCGTCACTACGTGAACTTGAAGAGGGAAGCTCCATAAGTTCACGAGTAGTTACATTAAAAAGTGAAACTTGATGAGCCGTGTAAAGGCAAACAAGCCCGTTTGTAATTGGAGAAATATCCTCATAACCAAAATAAGGCAAACTTAACCTATGTGCAAATACTTCCTGCAAAATAGAATGGCCTAAACGTATAAGTAATGGCAGATCCTTAGTGTGCGTAGAAATTGAGTTGAAGTTCTATGCATCAACACTAGTGTAACAGAATATTTACAAACTTTTTATTGTAAGCATTAATTATCTGATAAGAATGATAACTAACCTACTATCACAAACTGACTGACAAGAGTGAGTTGCTGTAGTGAAGATTGTGAGTTCAAGTCACCCCAAGAGCAAAGTGGGAAGTTTTTGTAGGGAGGGAGCTGAGGGTCTATCGGAAACAGCCTCTCTACCTCAGGGTAGGGGTAAGGTCTGCGTACACACTATCCTCCCCAGACCCCACTCGTGGGATTATACTGGGTTGTTGTTATCACAAATTGAAGTGTATGACTTAAATACATAATAATTTAAGAATAAGAACTCACATCATTCCCATGAGTTTAAGAAGCTGTCGATGGGGAAGAGATTGATGAATATACCGGCGCAAGGCCTATGAGCTTTCGTGAATTCAGGGTGACTGATCATTGATGACCAAGATTTCGATACGCACTTGAATCTGTTTAAGGCCTTAATGGGCAATCGAGCTAGCACTTCAAACACAATATCAGAAAGTATTTCTTTGTTGCCAGTAATCTTCTTCTTTTCTTCATCTTCGATTGATAATGCCAACACAAGTAGAAATTGAAAACCTTAAAAATATGGACTAGAGTGCAGACATAAAAGAGATTGAAAATGTTTGGACTTTTAGTTTTAAGGAAAGAAACGGAAGGGCTATTTGCAGCGAGGAATGTGGTACATATTAACCTTTTAAAAAAAGGCTTGATACATACTTTGTAACCCTAACTTGCACCCAAATACCTTTTGATTATACACCCCTACTTTACGGGAAAGTATTTTTTTTTTTCATTTTAAAAACTTTGCCAAACACCTAAAAAAAAAAAAAAAAAAAAAAAAAAAAAAAAAGCACTTCAAACAAGCTATTATTCTCAACAATAACAAACCTATTAAATTCTCATAGGGTCTGAAAATGATAGTGTGTATGCAAGTCTTACTTTTAAAAAAAAGTTGACACAAGTCATATATATTAGCTTGCTTAAATTTGTGGTTAAAAAAAAAAAACTCTGGCTAATACAGTCCATTTTGTCCATGTGGTCATTGCGTGTTTTATGCACAAAAGAAGCGAGTGAACAGTTAACTTTTATTTTTGAAGCCTTATTTTAACTTAAATTATTTGTTTCTACCAAATAAATGACATTTTTACTATATAAATGCGTAAGAAGTAAAACTAACTTGATAATAAGCATAAAAGGCATTAATTCACTTTTTGAAAAGGAAAAAGGCCAAATATACCCCACTACTTTGGTATATTGTTCACATTTACTCTCTGTTATGCTATCGGGTCAAATCTACCCTCACCATTAGCAAAGTTTTCAAATTTGTCCTCTAATCTAACGGAAAGCCCCCAAATCCCAAATTCCTTTTATTTACTACAATTTTTTCTTACAAATTACTTATCCGTGTGTGTGCTCTACCAGATAAGAAAATATCCTCAACAAGTTGATTTCTTATTCCACTTGATTATTTAGAGCAGGAAGACTTAACATACTCGCCATCTTAAGGCATGAGAACACTAGTAAATATTCCTTTGAAAGAATGTTCTGAAGTTGGACATAATTTAAACAGATCATTTAATTTAGGATTTCTCAAACAATACTAAAGAGTCATGATAGAAAATATTAGGAACAACTTTGTAAGCGAATGCATTTCGATCACCTAAAGAATCAAATAAATCTCTTTCAAATTATCTACGGTATTTCACTCATCCTCATTCCGTTGGAGACATACCCATAAACCGTGAATTCTGCGTTTCATTTATGGTTTGAGCATAACCAAAGACAAGAGGAATAATTATGCTGTAACTCCACACTCTCATTTCTATAATATGGACCTTTTTTCTTCTCTAGTGGATCACACGAAGGAGGTGACTGATTTGTGAGAAGAATTGCAGTAAATAGAAGAGATTTGGGGCTTTCCGTTAGGTTAGAGAGCAAATTTGAAAACTTTGCTAACGATGATGGTAGCTTTGACCTGATAGTATAACGAAGGATAAATATGAACAATATATCAAAGTAGATTGATATATTTGCCCCTTTTCCCTTTAGAAAAAGGAACAAATATATAAAGAAAAGGCAAAATAGAGGAAAAGGCCAATCATATTCTTATTTTTATTTGGTTTGTCTACATTCCGAAGAAAAAAAACGAAAAAGGATTATATTTGCCCCTTTACTATCATAAATTATTTAATATTGCCATCCGTTTGAGTATTCGCCTTTAAAATACCCTCATCATTTTTAAGGGGCAAATATACTCAAACGGAGGGCAATTTCATACTTTCATTGCCCGACCCACTGAATTCCCAAAAAACGAGGAACGGTCATGGCAAAGCGGTGACTATGATTCCTTAGGTCGTATTTGATGGCCCAAAAAATTTTAACGCGGGTTCGGGGGCTCGGGCCCATGGAAGGCGTGGAGCATAGCAAACGAAAATATGAGAATCCGAAATTCCAGCTATGACAAGCCCAAACAAAAGGATATACAAGCTGCAAACAGCCACTGCCTACGAGTCACCGATTACCCCGGAAAAGACACCCTACATACTAAGCACCGGACTGAGCATACCTTACGCAAATCAACTTCTTTGCTAAATTATCGGCCCTCTGCACTGGACTGACAGTGGCTTTCGATAAAAACTTGACTCCATTGGAAATCGAAATGGACTCCTTAGAAATATTATATATGATTGTAAGTCACATATATGCATTATTCAATATTGAAGATATGAGTTGCAGCAAAAATATTCAACAGCCAAAGTGAATGTGAATAAGATATAATTTCTGCACCTAAAAGCAAAAAGGGAAGCAGAAGCCAAGTACGAGAACTTGATATCTCGTACCCAACTTCTCATCCAAAATTTTCAAGACATCAATCTGTGGCACGACTCTTTTCTCCAGGCTATACGATAAAACGGAAGCAGAAGCCAAGATCTCTCGTTCTAATCCCAATTCCTTCATAAGAAAATCTAACTTTTCCTCTTGATTGTAGCCTCTGACAGAGTCAAACAACAAGGTACATTCCGAGCCATGATAATTTGCAAACCTCTTCTCTAAAAGCAGCTCACTGATCTAACCAAAGACATAAACTCCATAGAAGAACATGTCAAGAAATGCCAACAACATTCATCACCCCATGCACTATGTCCTGAAACAACCAACAACGACAAACCCAGTGTAATCCCATAAGTGGGGTCTGGGGAGGATAGAGCGTACGCAATCCTTACCCCTACCTTGTGAGGGTAGAGAGCCTGTTTCTGACAGACTCTCGGTTCAAGGAGCACAATGTCCTAAAACCTGGTATATATATCCTCACGGTATAACAGTAATTCCTAGAGTAGTTAATTCACTTGCTTTTCTACTTAATGGAGAATATAGAACCTTTCCACTTTTGTGGTTTATCATTTTCCAGAACTAACTAATTAGGTTTACAATTGAGTAATTCAAATGTGAACAGAAATCAACAAGCCATAAAGTGAGACATCTATTAGCTAGCTAGATGTTTATCAAATAGTAAGTCACTGGAAAGCAAATGGAGTTTGAAATAACAGAAACACTCCAATGATATTTTTGCTTTATCAGGACAGAAATGATTTTTGGCAACACTAACTATATTTTTCAAAATACCAACTGAAAAACGAAAAGCAAGGTATACTGGACAACAAATGATAATTTTAAAAAGGTCACAGCACCCTTAGTGCTAAAAAGTAAACCAAAACTGTTAAGGCGTCACAGTTTTCTTATGCGATTCATACAGATAAGGTATCTGATCCTTATAGGGAAGCACAAAATACTCTATAAACTTTGACTCTGTTATCATCAGAACGCGATAAAGAGTCCACTTTCTCCTCTCAAGCTTCTTTTCATCCAAAATTTTCAAGACTTGCATCCGAGGTGCCACTCTTTTTTCAAGACTATAGGCCAAAATTGCAGGATGCGAAGCCAAATAAGCAGGTTCAAAACCAAGCTCCTTCATGTAAAGATTTAATGATTTTTGAATTCTAACATCTGATTTAGCAATGCAATACGGTAGCTTCCTAAACATCTCGAGTATATCATCATCAGACCATCCAAAACTCTTGAAAATTCCGATCTTCCTTTCCAACATAGACTTTTTTTGGCTGGCTAACACATGAAATCCACGTAGAAAACTAGGGGAGTCGGGCAGAACTCGGAAATCCTTCTCCACTCTATACAACAAATCCTTAAACCACTCAGGCTTTAGATTAATACAACCAGGAGATCTAAGCACAAACTTTTTTACTATGACATTAGAAAAACCATAGTTTCTCAAGAACAATACATTAGTCTCCATAATATGATGAGTACCAAAAGAGAGCAACCAAGGAGCTCTCTTTATAGCCTTAGCTACATCTTCGTCGCTACCCAAAATTCTCCTAAGACAATCAATGGTAGGTCTTAAATGAGTATCTAAACTTCTCATAAAAATATTTGAATCTTTAGCAATTACATTCACTAGGTCCGACCCGGATAACCCGAGATCCATAAGGCACTGGAGTTTGGGTTTTAGGGTTTTGGAAACATCACGGTATAGCAATGTGGGTGCTCTAGAAACCAATATTTTGATGTCGGTCTTGTCAAAACCAGTTTGTTTCAAGAAATTGAGGACTAAATCAGGATCTTTTAAGGTTTTCTGTGAAGTTAGCTTAGAAGAAGTAAAAGTTGCTTCTTTTTTGGAAAATCCTAGAGAATGAATTAGGTATTTAACCAAAAAATTGGCTGGGATACGGGTTGACGTTGTTGAGTAGAAATATTGAGATCTGCCATTGCAGAGAATTCTGGATAAAGCTTGAACTGCTTTGCCAGTGATGAGCCTTAAGTACATTTTATTTTCTGCACTAGCAAAAAATTCTCATATAGAATAGTAAAATCTGAATTTGGGTTTAAGGGTTTTGTAAACATAAAAATAAATAGGAACCACAATCTTGATTTGGGTATCGTCTTAACCAGTTTTTTGTGTAAGAAAGTATGGGGGATTCAAGTGAGTTACCTTGGCGGGCCTATTGACATTGCTTCGCCATGGAAAGGAGATGGCTACTTTCACTAAACAGAACAAATATGCAATGGGAAAAGGATAAAAAAAATATTTATGTCCTATGTTATACTTTCCTTATATGTTAGACTAGATGAAGGCCCAACTTAGTATTGCTTTCTTTCTCTTGTACGGGCTCATGCTATAAAGCTCAATTATTTTTGTTGTTGTATTGACATGTACAGAAGAGGGTCTTGGACTCGTGTATAAGCTAGTTGGTTGAAACTATAAATACTTAAAGTATTGTAATTAGTTGACTCCAGAAGAAAATGGGAAAATAATTTTCTCTGTCGTTTCTCTCACTCTCGAACATTCTAGGGTTCATCTTGTTAAATTGGTTTGAATTCTCTCATTTTCCTTTGATTTTAACATGGCATCAGAGCAAACTTGGTAGATTCCGGCAGTAACTAGGTTTCTATTGGACGAATTTCTGGTTTGGAGCAATTTCGTTGCACCGTCAATTTCTGCATTTTTCGGTAATTTTGTTCGTCGAAGCTGCGATTTTTAGTGTTGCTGTCAATTTCGTCTTCAATTTGTGTTGCTGATGCAAAGTTTTGGTTGAAATTTCCACTTCCGCGACATCAATGTAAATTTAGGGTTTTCTCGTACAGTTGGTGACATCTCTTCTCCCACTTTGCATATTCTAATAGATAATTGTATATCATCTTCTAGTTTTGTGTGAATTGATATTTTCATTTATGATAATTTCATAAACATGGATATTTATTATGAAACACGTGTTATACCTGAACCTTCAAACACAAATTCAAACCCTAACCTCGATCTTTTTCATCCGTTATATCTTCATCCTTCTGATACTCCGGGTACAATGTTAGTTTCTGTTCCTTTTGCTGTGATAAGGTATGGAGAGTGGAAGGAGAGCATGATTATCTCACTCTCGGCTAAAAAAAAAACTCCAAATTATCAATGGTTCCTTACCCAAACCTGCACCTACCTCAGCACTTTATCCTTATTAGGAGAGGTGTAATAACATGGTTAAAGCTTGGATTATGAATGCACTATCTAAGGAGATATCCAAGACTGCTAAGGAGGCTTGGGATAATCTAGAAGAACGATATGGTGTTGCAAATACCTCTCAATATTATAGTATTCAAAGAGCCATAGCAGCCACTACGCATGGATCTTCTGATATAGCTACATACTTTACAAAGTTGAAGGGTTATTGGGATGAAATTGGTAGTTGCTCTTTTGGTAGGCCGTGCACTTGTGGTACTTTGCCTGAGTTCATTGAGGGACAATAATTTGTTCAATTTTTATCTAGACTGAATGACACATATTCTAACTATGCGGAGCAACAACTTCATGATGAGTCCAGTACCATCATATGCAAAGGCATACTCAGTGTTGATCAGAGATGAAAAACATAGAGAGATCAAGTCTAATTCCCCTGTACTCTCCTGATTCAACCTCCTTCCTAGCCAATTCTCATGCTCCTCCTACTAGGCCCCCTCAATTTAACAACTCCAGAAATTATCCTCAAAGAGTGAATTTTGATCCTAAGAAATCCATGTTATTCTGCAAGTATTGCAAGAAGTCTAGGCACACAGTAGGCAAGTGTTACAAGCTTCATGGATTCCCCTCAGATTTTAAGTTCACTAAGAATAAGAGAGTTGCAGCTTCTGTACATATGTATGCTACTCCTGAGACTCCTCATCTACATGATTCTCAACAAGCTAGTGATGCTCCACATGGTTTCTCGAAGGAGCAATATGCTCATATTCTGTCACTTTTTCAGCAGGCCCAACTTTCATCTTCTACTTAGCTTCAACACCATCATTATCTATTGCTTATGCCAATTTTGCAGGTTTGGTAAACAATATTGTTTTTAATATTGATGGTTCATTTGCATCTAGTGCTTCTAAAATAGGTTCAATCTCTTGGATTTTAGATTCCGGGGCCACTAATCACATGACCCCTCACAAGGACCTACTTCACAATATACAACCATTAGTCACACCTTCTCTTATTATATTGCTAAATGGATACAAAGTTAAAGTTACTTCTCTAGGTTGTCTATCACTCTCTTCTACTATCACCCTAACTAATGTGCTATTGGTGCCTTATTTTCAATTCAATGTAATTTATATACATCAACTTCTCACTCAACTCAATTGCTATGTTATTCTAACTACCATTTCCTTGTTCCTATAGGGCTCTTCTCTGAAGATGCCATTGAAAATTGGTAGAGTTGAACATGGTCTATACATTCTGCATATGCCTTCCAGAAAATATGATTCTCTTTCTATTTCTTGTTCTGATGTAACATCTAGTGATTGTTCCATTCGTTATGTTATTAGTCATGTTCTCTATTCCCCTGTTAATGCTAGTTCAATGCTTCCTACTTCTTGTAATTCTACTTCCATTAATAAAAATGATGTTTTGTGGCATCAAAGAATGGGACATATTCCTTTTGTGAAAATAATTTCTATCCCATATTTATCTTGTAAATTATTATCTAAACAATCTTTTGTTTGTCCAATCTGCCCCATGACTAGGCAACAAAGGAATCCATTCTCTGCTAGTATTACACATTCCTCTAAGCCTTTTTAACTTGTTCATATTGAGTTTTGGGCCCCCTACCATACTGCCACCTACAATGGTTTCAAATATTTTTTGACCATTTAGATGACTATAGTAGAGTCACCTGGACACATCTCCTTTCGTGCAAAGGCAATGCTTTTTCTATCATTAAAGCATTTATAGACATGGTTTCTACTCAATAAAATAGCATTGTTCGGACCATCAAAACAGATTATGCTTTTGAGATGGGATTCTGTAACAGAAACACCTGTTAGAAACTGTTAGAGCCCTATTGTTTCAGTCCAAATTACCTACCAAATATTGGGGTGAATGTATCCTCATAGCTACATATTTAGTTAACAGATTCCCTTCCACTGTTATTTCCAACAAAACTCCATATGAGGTCTTGAATGGTCAACCACCTTCGTATGACCATTTGAGATCTTTTGGATGTTTAGCCTATGCTTTTGTTCCTATAGCTCAAGACAAACTCCAATCCAGAGTTATACCTTGCATTTTCTTGGGGTATCCTTTTGGAAAAAAGGGTACAAACTTCTTCACTTGCACAACAAGTATATTCTATACTCTAGGTATGTCTTTTTTTATTGAAAACATCTTTCCTTATACATCTTCTTCTTCTACATATTCTCCTTCTACTTTCTTTCCATCCTCTTCTGATACATCATTTCCTTATTCTGATCTTTCAATTCCCTCATGTTCCTCCCCTTCTCCTCCTTCTATTTATGTCCCAAACTCTCATCTCCCCTCTAGATCTTCTGCTGCACCTTTTCCTCCTCCACTTAGAAGGTACTCTAGACCACATAACCCTCCAGTTCACCTTCAGGACTATGTTTGTAATTATGCTCCTCAATCTTCAGCCCCTCATGTCATGCATGAACCCCCACATTATCAGCAAGTTGTCTCCAATCCTGCTTGGCAGGAAGCTATGCTAAAAGAGTTTCAGGATCTTGAGGCAAATCAGACTTCGGATATTGTCCCTCTTCCTCTCGGCAAGAAGGCCATTCCCTGTAAATGGGCCTATAAGATCAAACAGAAGTCAGATGTGACTATTGAAGATACAAAGCAAGACTTGTTGTTAGGAGTGACACTCAACAGGCTGGGATTGATTATAGTGAGACATTCTCCCCGGTTGTCAAATTCACAACCATCAAATGCCTCCTTGCTATTGCAGCCAAGAAGTCCTGAATTGTTTACCAACTAGATGTTAACAATGCTTTTATGCATGGGGACCTTTCTGAAGAAGTGTATATGAAGGTTCCTCTTAGTTTGTCTGTCTCTGGTTCATCTCCTGATGGTTCCCCTCTTGTTTGTAGACTTACAAAGTCTCTTTATGGTCTCAAGCAGGCATCAAGACAATGGTTTTCCAAGCTCTCCATTGCTCTTATATCCAAAGGGTACCGGTCCAACCTCAATGATTACTCCCTTTTCACAAAAAATTCAGCCACTTTCATTGTTGTCCTTGCAGTGTATGTGGATGATATACTATTAGCTGGTGATGACACTAAGGAGACGGAGTCTTTGAAATATTTCTTGGATGCTCAGTTTAAGATCAAAGATCTTGGAAATATTCACTATTTTTTGGGGCTTGAAGTTTCTAGTGTTGTTGAAGGTTATCTTGTGAATCAACATAAGTTTGCCAAGGAACTCTTGGCTGAATTTAATTGTTCTGACTGCACTCCTGTTGTGACACCTTTGGATCTGAACAGTAAGCTCACTCCCACTTCTAGGGAGCTGCTTCCTGACCCTTCTCTATTCAAAAGAGTGGCTGGGAAACTCAACTTTCTCCAACACACCAGGCCTGACTTGTCTTTTTCAATGCAACACCTTAGTCAGTTCTTGAATGCCCCCAAGTATCTTCACATGCAAGCTGCTTTGCATGTCCTTAGATATCTTCTCAATGATCCTGCTAAGGGCATGTTATTCAACAACTTTGTGGGCTTCTCTCTCATAGCTTATTCTGATTCAGATTGGGCCACCTGCTACTCTTTCATAAAATCTGTTACTGATTTCTTTGTTATATTGGGTGGTAACCCTATTTTTTGGAAGTCCAAGAAGCAACCTACTGTATCCTTGTCCTCTGTAGAAGCTGAGTATAGGGCTTTGAGGAAGATTGTTGCTGAATTGACTAGGCTTATTCGACTATTGGGTGATCTTGGTGTCTATGTGTCTCAGCATGTTCCTATCTACTATGACAACCAAGCTGCCCTAAGCATTGCCATGGACCCTGTAGATCATGAACAAACCAAGCATATAGAACTCGATTGTTATTTTGTTGGTAAAAAGCTTGGGATGGTCTAATTTCTCTTCACTACATCCTCACCTTTTCTCAATTAGTCGACATCTTCACCAAATCTTTATCTGATGTTCATCACAGCCATTTGCTATGCAAGCTGGGGGTTCTTCTACCCCACGACTTAAGGGGGGTGTTAGACTAGATGAAGGCCCAATTTAGTATTGCTTTCTTTCTCTTGTACAGGCTCATGCTATAAGGCCCAATTATTTATTTGTTGTATTGACATGTACGGGTATAAGCTAGTTGACCCAGAACTATAAATACTTAGAGTATTGTAATTAGTTGAATCTTGAAGAAAATGGAGAAATAATTTTCTCTGCCGTCTCTCTCACTCTCGAACATTCTAGGGTTCATCTTGTTAAATTGATTTGAATTCTCTCATTTTCCTTTGATTTTAATATATATTTATATCCACGACGTTCTAAAATTGGTGCAAAATATTCCTTTTTTAAAAACATTGGTCCACCGTTATTTTAATGAGATGCACACTACGTGGCATGCCACCTCACCACCCCAACTCATTTTAGCCCATTCCCTTATTTCTTCTTCCACCACCACCACCAACCTCGTCACCCAATTTTTTTTGGATTTTATTGTCGTATTCTAAATTGTAAAGCTGCAAAAAAAAAAATTATTCTCCCTCGATTTTACCACCTTTAATAGAATTATTTTCTTTTATCTTTATTCACAGCAACTAAACTCTTCTTTAACTGAAGCACCAAAAATAATCTTTATCATCATATTTCATCTCTAATTGTGACCCAAAATCGACAAAGAAGTAATTTTGAAGTGCTAGAATCACGTTATTTGAATTAATAAATTTATACTTTGGTAAGTATTATACTATCATATTTATATTCTAATTTTGTTTTTATAGAGGATCCAATTCCAAAGCAATGGCACTTGCAATGATAAAATATTTAGCCACTTTTCTGGAAATAAAAGAGAATTTTTAAACAGAAAATACTACTATGATTCGTTTAAACTAATCCAATTTGGGAACTCTATCTAACCCACAAAAATATAAGTCGATATTTATGTAATTTAATTTCTATAGATGATAATTTGAAAGTCTTGGTCGCAAAGTAAGTAGAACTGAAAGCATCGCTTTTAGCTGGTGAGAATAAAAAGGCATGTGTGCTTATATTAACGACGTTTGTTTCTTGTTCAATAGTTGCTTAGATAATAAAATTTTCGGAAAAGAGCCAAATTTATCTTTCTACTGTTGAAAACTATTTACCCTTTGTTATATTATCAGTGTCTTTGAGCCTCTACTGTTATATTTTAGTTCAAAATTGCCCTTAATTATAACAGAGGGACACATGGCAGTTCAAGAACAAAAAGTTCAACGTCCATTTTAGAATACCCGATCCAATTAAAACTCACCCCTAATTTAACCAACTAGCACCCATATCCCTCGTTCTCTTATTATTCGTATCCCCTCCCTCTCCCTTTATTCCCGATCAAATTCAAAACAAACTTCGATAAACAACGGTACATGGTAAGAAGTTATGTTTGCTACTTGACTCCATCAATGATTTTTCTCAACGTCGATATTATCGATGTTTATGCCGGCTATCGATGTTCCCGCCGGCGAATAGTTGACAATCGCATTTGAAAATTTTTCATATCTTACTGATTGAATCTCTATAGTAGATCATTCTTCAATTTTTCACCATCACTCCTACTTCGCATATCTATCTAAACAAATCCATAGCCTTTTTCATACGAACCAACCGATCGAAGCAAAGAAGACGGAGGAAGTGGGTCTAATTTTTGTAGTCACTAGCTTTGTCAATCTTACTTACAAATGTTACTGCAATTGATGCACAATAATTTCTTTTTTGTAATGAGGTTTCCAACTCATTGTTGTGCTTATTCTTATAAAAGTCAAATCAATATCATCATCACACAATAAGAAACAAAAATGTGATAATGATATTGGGTGTATTTTTGTGACAGATACATTTCCGTAATTCTATTCTAATTGAATGTATAATAAGAAATAGAGAAGCTGATAACGAAAAATCAAGCAATGAAGATGAAGGAAGTTAGGCCTTTCACTGGTTAGAGGCTAGTATTCAGTAATTGAGATGGTGACTTTTTTCTTTCCGTGATGGTGAAAGTTGTTCCTGTTTTTATGATGATCTCAAATGAATTGGTTCTTCTAAAATGAAAATTTTGGAATAAAGGAGAAAAAGATGATATAACAGTGAAGAGATGGTAAGTGAAAATGTTAAGATACATGACAATGTTGTTACTTAGCCACTTGGTCTTCTCCTTTTCTTCCTTCTTTTACTATTGGGCCCAGAAACCCACCTTCTATTTATTTCATTACATAGAAGTTAGTTGGGTTTATTAAAAGTAATGGGTTGGCCCATTCCGTCGGGTCAGAGAATAACATTATATAGACAGATATTTTGTTCTCAGTTCAATCTAGTGAAACCTAGAAGCTTCTATTTTCTCTCAACAACCTTACAACATCCCTAGATAAAACTTCAACAATCTGTGTGTATCAAACTTTAACATGGTATCAGAGCCCAGATCTGGGTAAATCGGGTGATTACCTCTCGTCTGATGTTACCATCGCGTGATTTCATTGGAGTTTTGATATTCTGTTGTTTGTTCATCTCTTTGACGTTTTCCGACGAGATTCTCCCTCAATGACATCAGAATTAGTATTTTTCTGGTATTTTTCCGGCCGCGAAGGATGTTTGGTAACCCTAGTTATCTCTTCTCATTCTTTGACTTTGTGTGTTTTTTCTCTGATTAATTGCGTACAAAATATCGAATGATGATATTTACCCATCTATGTTACCAACTACTCGCCCTACTACCTCTCGTTCTGTTTTTCATGAGGGTAATTATACGCAACCATGTCATCCCTTTTATGTGTATCCGTCTTATGTTCCTTTGGATGGTACTGGGTATGGGAGTTGGAGACGAACTATCCTTGTGACTTTGTCTGTTAGAAATAAACTGGATTTCATTAATTGATCCACAATTAAGCCTCTTGACAATTCTCCATTGGCGAGACAATGGTAGATGTGTAACGATTTGGTCATCTCTTGGTTAACTAACTCTCTGTCCAAAGATATTGCCCATAGTGTTAAGTACTCTAAACTTGACAAAGATATTTGGAGTGAGTTGGTGGAAAGATATGGTCAGACATGTGCTGCAAGTGTATTTGAGCTTAAGAAAGAGTTAGCTCATATTTCACAAGGGCCACTTGCTATTGCCTCCAATTTAACAAAATCAAGCGATTGTGGGATAAAATTGATGCCTTGTCAATTAGTAGAGTCAGGTCTTGCAGCAATTGTGGTTTTAAGTCTGATTATCATAAAGATGATGATGTTCAAAAGGTGTATCAGTTTTTGATGGGTCTCGATGATAAATATGTGCAAACTAGAAGTAATATATTCATGATTAAGCCATTTCCATCTGTGAGCATTGTCTATAGTGTACCGTTGTCAGATGAGAAGCATAGGCAGGTCTCTACCTCTCCTCAATTTCTCCCTACATCTATTTCTTTCAATGCTGGGGTATCTAAACAAGAGTTTCCTTCTAGAGTTAACTTTAATGATCAAAGACCTCTTACATGCAAATATTGTAAGAAACCGGGTCACACTATTGATAAATGCTATAAACTACATGAGTATCCTCCTAACTTCAAGTTCACAAAAGGGCCTGGCAGTAGAAAAATTGTAACCCATATTAAAGTGAACTTTCTTGGTCTTCCTGCTAATGTGGCTTCTAATATGGTTCTGAGTCTGTCAATCCATATGAGTCTGGTAATGTTTCAATGATTCCTAGTTTGACACAAGATTAATTCTCCCAAAGAAATTACCTTTTTCGACCCGAAACAGGAAAGTACTCTGACAAAATCACACAGGCGCGCCGCCCCATGCGGGGTGCTAGTGGGAAAGTTCAGAGAGCGACTTCTGACGGACAGTAGCAAAATGCATTGTTGTGTCGCCCCATGCGGCGCGATAGTGGAATTTTTACAGAGTACTTTATTTTCTTCGCGTTTTGACATCCAGACTTGGCTCCCGACCCCCGAACGCAATCCTGGTTTGATCCCTTGGACTTTTACTCAAACTTCAAAGCTCCAACTTGTTCAATTTAGCTCCTGGATATCTTTTTAACGTGAAATCACTTCCCTCAAGGTATAAAATACATAATAAGTGCAATACACTAACATTCACGCTCAAACACAAGTAAAATATAGTAATTAGAGTGCAAAGTACGACTAAAACACGTGATGCTAACCTACCATCAACACCCCACACTTAAACTATTGCCCGTCCTCGAGCAATCAAATTGCACTTCACATAGATATGACATTCTCATCAGACAACTTCCATAACGCATTATGCCAAGAATATTTAAAGCAGACTAAACACCCTATCATAACATCTTAGCCTCAAGACTCGACTCAAATGCACCACGTATTTTTCAAAAACCCGCTCATTACTCAAACATAGAGGCCCACATTACCTTTCCTTAAAAAATCATGTGCCCTCACACCAAAGATAGAGAGTAGTCCCACACACAATAAAATTCAAGAACAAATAGGAACTCAAGATATAAATAGTTCATTCACTCTCAGAAATAAAATTCATGCGCCATAGAGAAAGTACCATAGGCATGTCCATAGTGTAATACTCTACGAATTGAGCTCATTCAGTCAAGGATCAAGTAAGACTTTATTTTAGTTGTAATGTAGGCTACATGACGGGTAGGATACATTTGGATATAGTGACTACACCTCCCTAAGCACATTAATACATATACATTAACAATTTAAATTTCACACTTGTATTGAACCAAACCCCAAATCACACACCATATTAACACAAAGCTTCCAATTTCTTTAAGCACAAACAAGGCAAGATTTACCACTAGCAAGGAATAATTTATTTCTTTATAATATATACAAACACTAAAAAAAATTCCTTTTTCTAAATTCGAATTTTCTCTTCTTTTTTTGTTTCTTAATTCCCTA